CCGGACTACGGTGGAGCACCCGGAGGAGATGTGGTGCCGAGCCCATGGCCACCTTGGAGAGCCTGGAGGACAAGGTCAAGGCCCCCCAGGTCCCCCAGTTTGAAAAACTAATACTCTCGGTCATGGACGCTTTTAGCGTGGAACATGCATGGTGGCTTGCGGCGTGTAGGTTTTATGGGTGTGCGGAAAAGGAAATGGGCACGGTCAAAAGCGCCCCCTTGACGGTCAGGCGCTGTCCGGATGGAAAGCGCTTTTGCGTGAAGAGCGTGCCAAAATCACCCCAACTGTCACGACAGCACCAACACGTACATCAGCGGCTCCATTCACATGCGTGGCGCCGGACAGTCGTCCTTGTGGCTCCCAAAGCTGTCCCGTGATGTTAGGAAGGGCCTTGACCGCCTTGTCAAGCCGGACTCCGCGATTGTCCTGATATTTTCAGGACCTTCCTCAAATGCTGGTGCAGGAGATGTTCGCAGCCTTCGCTACGGACGAGAAGGCGAACCTTGAGGATGCCAGGCGACCCTGAGGGATCAGGCAATTATGCAACGATAGGGCGTGGCGTTTGGAACAGCCCGAGCTGGAGGACGCCCCCCTGCCGCCGCTGCCGTTCATTGGCACAGACCCGACATGTGAGAAGATTCGCGGAGGCCCGACGGCAGAAGTGTCATGTCTGCAACATGGATGTCGTCCCCCTCAGCAAGGACGGACAGTGTCCTCCAGGCGCCAGCCTGTGACGGTTTTGCTTGGAAATTTGTGGATGGCGTCTGAAGCAACACCCCGGGGTCCTTCAACAATTGCCCAGCGCGTCCGCATTGACAGTGAGTGCGCGGAGATTTATTCTTGTGGCTCAAAGCCGGAACGGGGCCAAGGCATGACCCTCAATGGCCAATAGCAGACGGCTGCGGATGCTTGGCAGGCATGGCCAGCAGACAGCAGGCCAACGCGTCTAGGTTAAGCCGATGTGGTGCTGGGGCTGGGGGCCTGCTGTTGGTGGGGAGGGCACTCCGGTTAGCGATGCGGTGCCGCCCCCCCGTGGACCGCCTATGTTAGGGCAGTGAGACAGACGATGCCAGGGCTGGCGGGCGGAAGCTTTGAGTGACATGGGGTTGGGGCCGCGGTTTGTGAAAAAGAGTGAAGCTTCTGGCTGCTGTGGGACGGCACTCTTGACTACTTTGAGTAAATTGCTATTATTATTATTATTACCACACTCCCGTTAGCATTCTGATAACCATTTACTCTTACCCTTAGGTTAATTAGTTCTATGACTAGCACCATTGTTATTACAAACACTATTGCTATGACTCTCACTACCTATTGTTACTTTTACCTATTACGATTACCATTACTATTACTATTACTGTGACTGTGACTGTTACCGTTACCGTTACTGTTACTGTTACTGTTACTGTTACTGTTACTGTTACTGTTACTATGCATCTATCGCTATTGCTATGCTATTGGTAGTGCTACTCGTACTAGTATTTGTCATTATTACTTCTACGATTACGCCTACAGTTACACCTACACTTACGCTTACGTTCACTTAATCTTACTCTTACGCCTACTCCTACTCCTCCCACTGCTCCTGCTCTTACTATGGTTATTATTGCTGCTATTTCTTGTATGCATCTTCGGTTGCAAGCTTGGGATTGATTTCGAATTGTTTGAATTGAAGAACCCAAATTTCTTGGCTTTCAGCGTTCTAAGACTCCCTGACGAGTCGCTGCTGAGCTTGCTGGCCTTGAGCCCTGCCTCCAGACTCTCAGCAGCATCTGAGGTCGTTGTGACAAGGTTTGAGAGTTGTGTCTGAAGGTTTAAGATTGAACCTGCTTTGACCTGTTGGACCTATCTGAGGTTCTCAGCATGACACCTCAGCAGCTCTTCAATGAGGGCATGTCTAAGGACACCATCCTGAAGTTTGACAGGGCGGGCCATGATGAGCCTTACATTGAGTGTGAGGAGTGCCTCAGGAATGGTGCTTCAGTGAAGATCTACTTGGGCCGCTTGCCTTGGCAAACCAGGTGCCTCAAGTGCAAGGCTTCCTTCCGAGCTGAGCAAGTGCATCAGTATCACACTAAGATACTCCAGCTTGCTGAGACCTTGCCTTGGAGGCACTTCCTCAGGTATGACTTCACAGTGGTCCCTAAGCACAGGATGTGTTTGATGGCTGAAGCACTCCCTGAGGCTTCTTTGAAGGGTACCTCAGGCAGCGGGTATCAAGGAGGCCCTCAGCAGCCAGAGTATGGGCAAGGTGACAACATGTCACACTCAGAAGGCTTGCCTGGCATTACGGAGACTTTCATCAGCAACTGTCAGCGCGAACTAAGTGCCATCATGTTCAAGCTGAGAGGGAAGGGGTACTCGGACAGGATGCTGCAGGACCAGATCAGTCGAGTCTCAAGAATGAAGGCAGACGCCGACAACTTGAGGGGAGAGCTCCAGAGTGCCCTGAGCTCGCTGGAAGACTTCATTGAGCACGGAGCGCTCAGTGAAGCTTCAGGCCTTGCAGCAGTGGCTGAGGGGAAAATCAGGCAGAAGAAGAGAAAGGCTCCCCAGTCTTCTTCAGCTCCGAGCTCGTTTTTCCTTCAGCGTGAAAGCGCTCAGCAGGGCATTGCCTCAGATCTTGAAGGGCTGGACCTTGAGGCTCTGGCTGAGGTGCAGCGCCTCGTTCAAGCAAAGAAGGCTGAGCAGCACATTTAAGAATGCGTGAGATTTCTCAGCAAACTCAACGATTGGTTGGGTGGAAGGATTTTGCTCAGCGTGTCTGAGCCCTTTGGAGTGTAAGATTGAGCTGAGTTTTTCTCAGCCTTTCCACTCATGAAACCGTAGCTACACCGTGCACGAAAAAATTCAGTTGCGTGTTTGCCTGCTATGTTGAGATGTGTTCTACATGCGCGAGGGATGGGCTTTAGGAGGTGTAGTAGGTTTTTCATTTGGGAACGAATTCAAGAACGCTTCGCTTTTGGGATCCGTAGAAGATTCACGCGTGTTGGGTCTTTTGTCCGAAGCATGAGAGCGCCGGAACGTCGGGCCTCCAAAACTATCAGCTCGAAAATGTACAGCCGGCTCAATGGTGCAGACCGTAAGTAAGCAAAAAGTTGGACATTAAAGACGGCATCCCTCATACTGGTCCTGCAGCGTTCACTTGCAGCTGCAAGACAATGCAAACAAATCAGTCGGGATTGCATCGTCCCTTCAACGACTGTAGATGCACTTGCAAACAGGTGATGTAAACTTTGAACGGCAAACCCCAAACCTCACGGTAAGCCTTGCAGAGCCCAGGCACCTGGAGATTCGCTCGCTGTGCTTGGAGTGGTTGCGGCAGTGGGCACCATCTGCCCTGGCGGCAAGCCAGGCCCCTGTCATTTTCGCACCGACTACTATAGCGAACTGGCACTCCCACAAAAAAATATCATAAAATAAGTACGGTTCCACGGTGACCCGTATTGTACTGCATAAAGGAGCATTAGAAGGCTTCCGCTTTCCTGTGGGATTCCAATTTTTTGACAGTGGACAGCTTTTCCTGATCGTGGATTTTTTTGATTGACATTTTTTGCGGTAGCTGTGTGGAGTCGCCGTGAGTCGCCTATGTTGTGGGGTGTCATTTTTTCTGACGGCTGTGTTTTTTTCTGAAGCAGCATGTCTTTTTTCTTGAATTTGCATATTTTGTTTTTGACCGTGTATGTTTTTTTTTCTGACCGTTTCCTGTCTTCGATTTGATCGTGGTCGGGGAGGGCTGGGGTATGTTGGTGTGGGGGGTGAAATAACTACAGTCCTGTCCATGTTCTATGCTCATGTTGTACAGTTATGTTCACACAACCTCGTTATTTGGCGCCGCTGCTCAGGGTGTTTGGGATGTGATGCTCGAGTTTGCACGTGTACAACAGAGACACCGTGTGGCTTGCTGAGATGTACCTGTAGAGAGGCTAAGTACGCCCAATGTGGTAGCGTAGCACTCTTCAGTGGAAGGCCCTGTCATCACAGAGGTAACCGCAAAAGGAATCCACGGTCAAACACACATACCCCCTTTCCCATTCGTGTTGAATCGGTTGCATTGCAGTTTGGGTTTAGCCCATCATGTGCAAAAGCAGCCGCAGAATAGAGACACATGTTGTAGCGTCCACTTGCACACGGCTTGGCTTCCATCATGTGTAAATAAGGCAGAAACAGCATCCCAGCAAAAGTTCGTGATTTCCGCAGTCATATCAAACCTCCAGTGAGCTTGCTGGATGATCGACAGGTAATGTTTGCGCACCTTCGGCTGTACACGACGAGCTGACAGCGACCGCCGGGAGCCGAGACCTGCATGTCCACAGAGCATTGAATTTGAAGGAGCTTCAGGGAGGCTAGTGAGATCCAGGTAGCTCGCACAACCACCAAGTTGAAGAAACCATGGCTCACGTCCATACGTGTAAAGCAAGGTCTTCGCACTTTGCATGGCCGCAGCTGGTTTCATCAAGCATTTGGCTGAGCACAGCGTCACATCCACCACTGGTGCACGTGCATGAAGAGACATGCCAGCGTTTCCACTTCAAGTAAGTCTGCGCAACAGTTTCTTTATGAAATAACCATCCAGCAGCAAGCAACCAGCACACCCGCCACAGCACGAAGCTATTTTTCCTACAGTAGATGACGCCCCACAACTCCAAGCAAGTCGAGTGACTCGAGCTGAATCGTCAAACGTTTGCGTCGGAGTGGCCTAGTCCGCGATGACTGCCGCCATGACGCCAGAGGCCACGACAGTTTTTTGCAACACGCTGTCATTGTGCTGTTGCTTTGGTATGTCATGTTGGGGAAATACTGAAGTTGCTTGGTTATTGCCAGCTGAGGTTGATTTGCAACCCTTTCGCAGTGTGTCCAGATGAGCATCAAGCAAAGTGCAAGATCTCAGCCAGGAGTTTTTGGGCGATCTATTCCACGCGTAACTCAAGTGCGAAGGGTCTAAGTACGTTGGATTCGATGAGATTTCATTTTCCGGATTTCGCTGAGACAGACCGCCCATGCAGGTTTGGGATCAACTGAAGCATCTGAGAGAAGACAGGGACAAGTTGAAGGAGGCTTGGCAGACCATGAAGTCACCCGGGCGTGTGACAACATCCGGTAACCGCAGGTTGCAAGCTGCATACATCAGGATACCGACATATGATATGAGGTCCACACGGGACAGTGAAAGTAGATCCCGGCTGAGGGTAGCGTGTCTCGGCAATCGGGCCTATGGAATCCCGTCTCTACCGCATCCAGTCTTCGTTCTTCTCTCTGACAGTTATGCTTGACTCCAGGTAAGCCCACCAATAGCTGTCCCATGTTAGTCATCACTGACCTGGCAACCGACCCCATTAGCAGACTGTTGGCAGGCCGCCGAGAATGCGCTTCAGGATGGAGACGAGGGAGGCTTCGAGTTCCAGAACATGCTGGCAGCGGAGATCACAGCCACTTCGCTGGCATTACTTACTAATAGCGCCAGAGCTGCCACCACTCGTTGTATCTCGTGTTTTCTAGCAGCCGACGCCGGCCCTGCTGGTATGATAACCCTTTAGAAATCATACCTTTTTGGTTTCTCGGGCTATCAGCCTGCCGTTAAACCAAGGAGAAAATTGACGAACTCGAGGGCAAATACGGCACTCAGCCACCCCTGCCGGGTGCCAGGAACGAGCCGTCGGAGGCCTGCAAGTGTGCAGCAAGTTGCATCCCCCAAACCCCGTTGAAGGGGTGTAATAAGAAAGAAATGGTAATGTGGCGAATAGGTTGAATCAGTAATTTTGAGAGGATGTATACGGTGCGCAGTGCACACATTTTCTGCGATTTGCGGGAAAGTAGTACTCTAAGGCCAGTCAAGGTTACACAAGCCTGGTATCCCACTCATGATTCCCCCAAATTCACAATGGCCCTGATCTACCTCTTAATTCAGAAATACCTCTACCTCGGTGACATACTGCTACAGCTGCTGCTGCTACTGCTACTACTAACTACTACTGCTGCTACTACTATTATTATTACTACTACCACCACCATGACTAGTGCTTGTACTTACTGCTCCTTTTGCTCTTGCTATTGGTATCACTATTCCTATTAGCATTATTATTGTGTATTACTGTTATTAGTATCTAAACCCCTGGTATCCTCCTTGATAACCCCTATACATACTATTCCCCTATATATATATATACCCCTTTAGGGAGTTTAGACTCTAGCTCATAATATCATTGTTACTAGAAAGCTCCCGTTTGCCTGGGCAGGCTGGGGGGCTCCCGCTGCCACCCCCACCGCCGGCGTTACTGGGTAGACACAATTTGACCCCTCATGCTCTATAAGTCCACCTTAAGTAGATAGAATATGGAGTATATGAGGATCTTATTAGAAATTATAATGTACCCAAAGCCATATTCTCTCTACTTAAGGGGGACAATAGCGGTTTTGCAGAAGTTGGGGGGGTCCCTTTTTGGGTGTACGTTGTGCCTGTGAGTGGTGTCTTTTTGGTCCCCCCGTTTATGGAAGAAACCCTGGACAGATACCTGATCTATGTTCCATATCCTGGGCATATTATGCGATTTTGTGTTGCTGCTGGCTGTAACTTGTCAGGCCATCGTATTATTATCATCATATTAGGAGATGTGTAAACCTGGCCAAGCTCAAAGAGCACTGTGAGAGGAGTCCTAAAAATCAAAGCAAATTCTTGCACTGTTCAGGTTCCTGGTTCTTTTGCAGGGCCTCAGGGTACATTATTTTGTTATTATTACTATTATTATTACAATTACAATTATTACCATTGTTATTCTTGGTTTGGGGAATGAATGACAACTGCCTCCATGACTTTCGACCGTTCAGACTTGCATCTGCTGCCTACACATTCCTCCATGCTGGCTTCTAGAGATTTGGGGCCCCTTCTTGTGGTCATTCCTCTACACAGTCTATGGTACTATGTGAGAGTTTCTCGAAAATCTGAGGGGCCCAATACTGCAATCCCTTTCATGTAAGCCCCAAGTATCCCGAAAGTTCCCAAGGGCCGCTTTTAGGATATTCTGTTCAGGGTTATGAGCAGCATCCTGAGCAGTTGCAGGCTGCGGTCCTTCTGAAAGAGGCCTACATAGAGTTGGAGTTCAGTGTTTCTTTTGAGCAGGGTCAGTCCTCTACTTAATTCACTTGTAATATACTTACCTCTTTCCAAACTCATACAACCCCTACATGCCGCTCATAACTTCTGGAATTCTGAATCAGTTGGCCCAGGATAATGGGATTGCCGAAGCCGCCCGGGTTGCCGCCACTTCCAGGCACTTTTCAAAGGGGTTCCCAAAACTAGTGGTTTAGGAGTTACGGTTTAGGGCTTGGGAGTTCCCCTGGTAGGAATTACAAGTTCAAGGGGCTTGGAAAGTTGGAGGGTGGAGCATTTTGAGTGAAGGCAGGTGGGGTGAATCCTGCACGGCTTACGTTTCTCGAAACTACCACTACTGTAACTTCAATGGTCCAGGGTAGGTGCGATGGCGCAGGGTTCCTTTCCATCACAGTACATTTTCGCTAGCTTCCTTCCTAATTTGCGGACTTATTTCAGCTTGTTGATCCCCACCACCCAAGCCCTAAACCCTATTGACTGCAGAAGGGCATTTTCTTGCCCGACTTGCTTATAACAACCCCTTAATAATCTAATATGATCCACATATAACCCCTCCACACCCCCGCATATATAGTCCCCTTAAGTAGATAGAATATGGCTTTGTATATATTATAATCAGATCCCCAAATACCCCATATTCTGTCTACTTAAGGGATACTATAAGCATTGTTTGGGTTGTCTCTTCTCTGAGAGCAGTCCCCTTGCCGTCAACCCTCGAGAGGATAACAGTACAAATTAAGTAGATGGAATGTGGGGTATATACCCACAGCCATTTGACAGTACAAAAAGGAACGGCACCAACATGTCTGCCTTACAGCAATTCCTTGCATTGAGGGGTATGTTAGTTGTGCACCAACAAGCGCAGATCCTTTTTGGGGAATTGCAATAGGCATATTAGTTTCCTGGTGCGGATCAGGTGGGCCCTAACTGTGAAACAAGATGCACTCCAAAAAACACAAGCACTGTACGCAGCCCTCAGCCCATCGATGCTCTCCCAAAACTCCTTGCCCTCAACCCTGAAGCCTGTCCAGCATAAATAGAAGTTGTATAGGGTCCTGAAACACCAAAAGTTCAAGAAAGAACCGGACAAAACCCCGTCGAAACTCCAGACACGAACCCTACACCAGGTCTACAAACCCTAAACTCTAAACCCATCCTCATTCTCAAGCCCACCCTGGGAGGCGTGGCTGGCCTGCCCCCGGGCCTTGCTGCCAGCATCCCAGCCGGAGTTGCTGCCAACCTCCCTCCAGGCTCTCGGGGTTTAGGGTTTAGGGCTTCTTACAGGGTTGAAATTACTATTATGGGTTATATGGGGACTACTAGTGGTACCTTTTTCATAGGGGTTCATAGGGGTTATATGGGGGCGTCGATTGGGGGGGTATATGGGGTGATATAGGTTCAGTGATTTGGGTTTAGGGATTTAGACTTTCCCAAAATTAGGGGTGCCATTTTGGGGGTCCCCATAATAAGGATTACAGTTTTTTGGGGCTGTATATTGGGTGCCCTTATTTACGGAAACTACTGTCTAGAGGTTTGCGGGTTTCTATCGGATCGTATAAGGCTATATAAGTTATATGGGGCTAAACAGGAGGTATATCGGGTTAGGTAGGAGTATACAGGATCATGCAGACGCTTTGAAGGGTTTACTTGGCTAGTGTTACATTTTTGGATGCTATCCTCCACAAGATAGGGTAAGATAAAGTCTTCTCGTTGCTGGATCTCTAGTGCTTGCACCTGGGAGTTCAGGGTTTGGGCGTTTGGGGTTTGTGGTAGGGGTTTTGGGCTTGGGCTTCAGGGCTTACAGTTAAGGATTGGAGTCAGAGTTCCGGGTTCGCGAAAAGAGTCCAAAACTGCTGGGAAAGCTACCATTCGGATAGAGCCGTTTTGGCCTGGATAGAACCCAAATTGAATCAAAGAGCTCAAAAGCCCCAATTTTTCCCGTGTCCTCCACTGCGCTATCTGCTTCAAACTTCAGTTGAGGTATGGCACCTTTGCTGGAAGCTAGAAGACTTACCTAGCAGATTTGTAGTGAGGGTGATGGAGGTATGCATGTCAGCCCTTAACCCTACGCTCTAAATTTTGGGGGTAACATCCCTAAACCCTACATAACCACTGTATCCTCTTTCAACCTGACCGTGGGGACAGGCCTTGCGGCCAGCATTCCCCCGGGCGTCGCAAGCGCGCTGGGCAAGATGCCGCCAGTGCCAGGGGCACCGCCTCTTCCAGGCGGGGCTGAGGTGAGCCACGGGTATAAGGGGTTATACAGGGGGTATAGGAATATAGGGTTTATATGGGATAATTCATGGAAAAGCCAATGGAAAGTACTGTTTAACGGTTTAGGGTTTGGGGTTTAGGCTTCAGGGTGTTGGGTTTAGGGTTTAGGCTCCAGAGGTTTCGCGTTAAAGGGCGCGGGTGTTATGAGCACACTTTTTGAAGAGACACTGCGATCAGAAGGTCTGTGGGGTTTGGGCCTTTCAGAGCTTCTGTCAATACTATGAGAGTTACCAAGGGACCGCTAAAAAGATACTGGCATCCCTTTGGTAGTGACGAAGAGTCCCTAAGAGATGCCTTTATAAGGACCCATGTCCACGAAGTACATACATAGGGAAATACTGACTGTAGCTCATATTCTGCTTTGGAATACCAGACTTTCGATAGGGTCCGATACTTGGAGGGTCAGCGGGACTTAGTAAGTAGGTTAATAACCCCTATAACCCATATAGTAACCCTTGTTATCCTTATTACTAACCTACTTACTAAGTCTCCCCGACCCTCCAAGTAGAGTCCATGCTTCCCTGCGCGGTACATGATGGAGGGTTGACTGGGTTTAGGGGCTTAAGGGTTCAAAATTTAGGGCTGAAGGTTTAGGGTGTAGGGTTCTGGGTATTACCAGGACCATTGCCATTGCCACGATTACCATATGACGCTCTTCCGTCATGGGGCTCGATGGAAGCCTACCATTTTTTACTGAGAAAAGCTTTAGCAGAACCATTTTGTACTTTCCGAAGTGACACAAACCTCACAAGGGTCCTATACAAATCTTTACAAAGGCCATTGAATGTTTTGTAGGAGGTATATGGGAGTCTCCGAACATGATCTGCTGCAGTCTCCCCAGAATCCCTATACGACCGTAAGGTCCGCAAGGGCACCCTTTTTTGGAGCAGCCCTGGAAACCCTAGGCCCCAATCCCTCAACCATAGTTCAGCCTTGCTTGTGTGTATATGTATGGGTGGTTGTCAAAATTATGGTCCCTTTTTGGATCCCTTTTATAATACGGCACCTAATATTTAGGGCACCCAAAAAGGGACTATAATTTTGACCTCCACCCATATATATATATCTGTAACAACCATAAGTAAACCCTGTATTTTCCTCGATGCCTGCTGCGAGTTTTCTAACTGTCCGCTGTTTTGCGGGAGGGTAGGGGACTTTGCCTGGCAGGTTCCCGGGAAAGTGACTACCCGGACCTAAATTATGGGTACCTTTTTGGGGGTCCCCATAATAAGGATTATAGTATATTGGGGTCTGTATTGGGGTCCCCTTATTTTGAGAAACTACCAGATGGAGCTTTAGACCTCAAAATCTCCCTGACCTGCTTGCAGCGGTGAACATGGGGACTCGCCAGGTGTAGAATAGTTGCCTCCCGAAGACACGAAGTTGACAAGAAGAGCACCCTAAACCCTAACACAAGAAGTTGCAAAATTTGGGCAGTGAACCTCGGGCTGTTGCTAGACCTGTATTGATAGAGACGCTACGCCGCTAAATAAACCCCGTTACACCCCACTAGATACACTGCCTTGACCTGCTACGCAGCCAAGACAGCCCCGTAGGACTTCCTATATACCCCCTTTATAATCCCTATCATATACTAGTTTCCCTGTTCTTTTCCATTATCCCCCCTATGACACCTATATAATCCCTATCATATACTAGTTTGAGTTTTCCTTTCCATTATCCCCTCTATGACACCTATATAATCTCTATCATATACTAGTTTCCATGTTCTTTTCCATTATCCCCTCTAGAACACCTATGCAATCCCTATCGTATACTAGTTTGCCTTTTCTTTTCCATTATCCCCTCTATAACCCTTATATAATCCCTATCAGATACCAGTTTTCGTTATCCCCTCTAACGCCTATATAACCCCTATCATATACTAGTTTCCATGCTCTTTTCCATTATCCCCCCTATAAATCCTACATAATCCCTATCCTATACTAATGTGCATGTTGTTTTCCATTATCCCCCCCATGGCACCTATATAACCTCTATCATATATTAGTTTCCATTGTCTTTTGCATTTTCCCCTCTATAACACTTCTCATACACTAGTTTCCATATTCTTTTCCATTATCCCTCCCCTAGAGGTGCACCGAGGCCCCTCGCCATTGCCCTAGCGGACCCCCGAACAGACCTCCAAACTCGAGCAAACTAAACTCACGACCGCTCAGACCTACTGCACAGCCTACCCCGTAACTACACCGACTTGGTTTATTCAGTGCTGGTATGGAGTTGTGGCCCTTCTCTGAGGTCATGTTGTCTGAGATTCTAGAGGTTGGGCTAATCAGATTCAGAAGTCTTCAGTCTTATGCTGAGGTTATATTACGAAAATCCAAGATTCTCGGAGCTTGTGTCGGGTGATAAGCGGCAACGAAAGCAAAGCTGCTACCTGCCTGGCCGCAAACAGCCACGAGAAACACGACTGCTGCAAGCGATGGCAAATACGCGGTAGCTGGTAATCAAAGCCTTCAAAATTAGATCCCATCAGATTTCCTGTTGGTGTAAAGCCTATGAGCAAGGCCCGAATTGCTTGCCGTCCCAGTGGCCCGAGTCTGTATGGAACCTGCGGGGAGGTGGCAATTTCACCCAAAGGTCATGTGCAGGCTGTACTGTGCACATCCTCAAAAAGCTGGTTTAGGGTTTAGGGTCTAGGGATAGCCTGCCAGCACGTTAGGCGCCTCAACTCGCAGGCAGCGCGAAGCAATGGCGTATGCCTTCTCTTGGTGTGCCACTGTTTCTTTACTGTTGACCCGCGAAATCGGGCGCCCCACAGGCTTGAAAGAAAGATTAGGGACATGAGGGGATTCCATAGATGAGGGCTCCACCTCAAAGACTCCCCTGTAGACCCGTGGGTAATATAGGGGTAATATAACAACATAGGGGGGATATAGGGATTATATAGGGATAATGGAAAAGAAAATGGAAACTACCTCTGGCTGATTGAACATTTGAAATTTAGGGCGGCATGTTCCCTTGCGTTCCGTGTCGTTGCTTTCGTTTTCGCCCTCAGTCTTCGTCTCCCTTTTTCTTAATTCGTTAAATTAGCTGACATCTGCCTACGTCATCAAGTTGATAGCTTGCGTGGTGACCAAGAGGCTTCGGGTTGTAAGTTCAGGCCCATGTCATGAGTTTGGTAGCTTGCAAGATGGCCGCATCAGGCTTCAGGTTGGGAATAGTTGCGGTTGGGAATAGTTGCGGGTTATGCTTCCCCAGCCTGCAAAACCTTCAGGGCTTCACAGCGTAGAGGCTGTCCCTTACAGAGGGTAACCTAGGATTTCCTCCTTAACCGCTGGTGCGTAGGGAGTCGTCGGCAGATATGGGAAGCTGCGAGTGGGGTGTCAGTTAGAAAAACGTAGCCATAGGCATGTGCGGTGTTTGTAACGCCATATACACATGCATATGTAATGATTGCATAATCTTGTAGACGATGAAGTGCCATTCGTGAACTTACCGTCGTCGAAGTGTGCATAGGCTAGGAGGCCCAAACAAACAGCAATTGCCAAGGAGGCCCAGAAGAAGTAGCTTAACCACCCGACGGGAAGCAGCAAGGGGGGCAAAATCATGCGGAGGAGGACTAAACTATCATCAAATTTACGACCAAAGAGAAGTCCGAATAAAGATAATGACGTGACTTGACATGATCATCGTACTTGCCACCAGCCAGCAGCCAGGCCAACCATTGCTGCAGACATTTTTGTGCACACGGGGTTTATTGGTTGCATCGGGCAGTGCGCGGCAGTGCCACAAAATGATTAATGATTAAGGGAACCTATGTAATGACAAGTCGGGGAAAAAAGGCAAAACTTAAAAGTGGAAGAGGTGGTCAAAGGTGCAGGGCCCTCAAGAAGTTGAGCTTAAGGGCCACATTGGGGCATTTCCGCGTCACCTTACATGCACCTTACATACAGTTCAGACACCCCACCAAAACGTCATGACTAAAGTACTGGTGACATCCAAGCCCTCAGGCTTAAGCCCTGTTCAACTGTTCAAGACCGTCTACGCCCTGCGAGGTTAGCCCGTCTTGATATGTGCCAAAACAGATTCAGCCTTCCAAAAGAGTAGGACCCTGAGTTAGAGACCCCCCCAGCGGTGAAACCCCTAGAACCTACACATGCTTAAATCACACCTCCTCCCCCCCCACCGCTCTAGAATTCTACTTGGTTAGAATTGCGCATGAACCTCCGCATCAGGGCGTCGGCCCCGCGGCAGGTTGCAGTCGCGGCCTTAGTCACTGTTGGGAGTTGCTCTAAGTGGGGGTGCTTCTAAGGATTTCTAAGGGTCCTAATTCAGGATACTATAGGGGTTCGTTTCGGAAACTTTCACTTTTCCCCAACAAACATGAGACCCGAGTTCGGAGTTAGGGAGCACAGGCATATAGTGTTGGGCGGCATAGAAATCACGTAGGGATTCTAGGGTTCATCTTCCCAAACTAAGTGAGTAAAACTTAAGAGCCTCCGGCTCA